AGCTTCTGCTGTGGGGCTGACTCCATATATTAATGAACATCATTTCCAGGTTTAATTGTCTTGTGGCATCACCACTACATAGGGTAAAATGAACCATTTTGTTGACTGTGTGAGCAGCCTTTGCGGAAATGGAGGTGATGGGATAACAACTTAAAGGCTAACTCATTAACACTCAGGGATGAATGAGGTAATGTGCCAACAGACCAAATTGGTGCCCAAATGTTTTTACCTAGAGACCTGTATCTCTTTCCTGTGTTGTGATGTAGTAATAGGGTTATTTTTATCCATTGTCACTGCCTGTAGACATTAGAATAACGAACCAGATGCAATATCTTCTGGACAGCCAGCCCTGGCCACTATCAATTTCACAAACTCTGAAGAGCTCTCATAAACTTGGAGCAAAATTCTGATGGGAGTATAAAGTGCCTAATTTATAAGGATTCCTATAAAGATATCAGGACAATCCCTGATTTGTTCTCATAGGTGTTTACTAGTGAGCCTTGCACCATTCTTACTATTGGATGGGGGGTGATGGAGTAAATTAGCCCTCTGGATTTTGAAGGCTGTGAATTTATACCCATTTGAAAGCATTTCTGTCCTTGCAATGTCAAGTGGATGACCTTTCTGACGTTTGTTTCGTCATCTGTGACTTACATTTCAGGAGGATGTGAGAAAAAGGCTTGATGGCATTCAAATGTGTTTTCTCCTTTTTGTGTTGCTCAACACTTGATCTGCCTGTTTCCTCACCTTTTATTAAAGTCTCTTTCCTGTCTTAGCTAATATCCTAATCTCTTTACTTATCCAAATGAAATAGTAATTTCTTTAGCTATGAATCGAGGGCATTTAACAACAACAACAACAACTGACGATGTACAACTTGATGGTTTGATTGAGCAGCATGATTGGGGACACATAGGCATTCTACTAGTTTGAATAGTAACATTTAGTAAATAATGTTTAGAGAAATAAACTTATGCATTTCTATATTTTCTAAGATATTTTATACTGGATTATGACAAATTTGAGCTTGAAAAAAGAAAAATATGCTTCAAATAGTTTTGAGTATATTCCTTTATGTGTTTTAATTTTATTGCAATTTTGTAGAGATTGAGCAGAGTAGGTAGCTAGATACATTCATACAAATTCTAATTTTATGTAATTACTTTTGAAGCGTAATGTTTTCTGGTACATTCAGGCCTCACAAATAATATTCAATATCTCTGTGTGTGTGTGTGTGTGAGAGAGAGAGAGAGAGAGAGAGACAGAGAGAGAGAGAGACAGAGAGAGAGAGGGGGGAGAGAAAGAGGGAGAGAGAGAAGGAGAGAGGGAGAGGAAGGCAAGGAAGGAGGGAGGGAGAGAGAAGAGAGGAGGGGGGAGAGAGAGAGAGAGAAAACCAACAACAGACATAGCTGACTCTCCAGCAGGTTTTCGGAGGCAGTTAGTTGTATCACGGAGATTGCCCATGTTTTTCCCATAGAATATAGAATAGCTGGTGGAATTGAACCATGTGCCTTTGGGCTGGCAGCACAACTTGCCATTAAGCCACAAGAGTTCCTGTGTGTGTGTGTGTGTGTGTGTGTGTGTGTGTGTAACAAAATCAATGTTAAACATCACTTATTCATTATATAATGTACATATCATACAACTGCTGAAATGGGTAATTTGTGATTTACTCACTTCATCAAGGAGGCTCTGAGGCTCAAAGAACTCAGCTGACTTTCTTAAGGTCTCTATATGACTCTCACTCTAGTGCCCACTGCAGACATCTGTCTTAAGGCTATTGCTTTTGCAAATATGTCGAATTCTAGGTTGAAAGGCAGCTAGCTTGCTTTCATCTTCCTTCTTTATTATCTTTTTGATCTCATGGTTACTTCAGGCCATGGCCATGGCAAGTTAAAGGGGAGACAGAAGAGGCTTTGGAGCAAAAGATATCTGTTAGTACACTTCTTTCTCTGTAGGAGACAGACATCCTATGTGTTCTGCTTGGACAATAAGGCCTAAAGACAAGTATCCAAATCACTGGAACTTGCTGTGCACCTCTCCCACACTACTGAAGTTTGCCAACCTACTCCTCACCTTGTCCAGCTGGTTCTTTTCTGAATACAATGGCCATCTTAACCCTAGTCTTATCTCTTACTTGTGCTTTGAGGGATTCAAAGGCAAGATAGATAGTGCCAATTTTGTTGGCAGAATTTCAGCAAGTGATTGCTCTTAAGTTGAGCCCTGTATCTTTTAACAGGAGGCAATGACAAACAGTTTATTCTAAGACCTTTGATTTCCTTCGGAATTGTAAGCATCTAGGCTGACTCATCTCTCAAAAGCTCCTCTCTCTCTTTGGCCGGTGTGGAGGTTTTTTTATTGCTTATTTTTATGTTTGTGTTTTTTTTTTTTTTGAGGGAGGGATTAATTTTCATCCTGATATTTGTTTGGTTGAAAAGAACCAGATATACTCCTTAGAAGACCAGATCCACTAAGCTTCCTCGAGAAGAAAAAGTTGAAGCCCTAATACAGGTACACGAATGTCTTTGTTGGGGCAAGGAGGAAGGGGGGAAATGAAGCTAGAATTATGTTGTGTGTATAAGATGATACTCTTGGTTCAAAGGCTTTGGACTTGCTATCACAGTTTGGGGCTCCTTAGTCAGAAGCTTTGATTGGGAATTTTGCATGTGCTTTTTTGGTTAAAATGATCAATTTGTGGTTGAAATTTGATGGTAGATGCCAGGTTCTTTGCTGTTGAAGGGGCTCTATGACCCTCTGCTATGGGGTTTCCTTTTAACGTAGTTAAAAAAATCTTAGAAAGACATCCCTGTATTTCCTCATATTACAGACATTTTTCCTACTCAAGTTTCTGGCATATGTGATTTTAGCCAGGTAGGAAAAGGGGTGAAAGAGAATTTTGCAGATCGAATTTAAAGGTGATTGAAATTTAAGTGTGGTGGTGGTGGTGGTCTTTTGGACCTCTATTTAACTTCTTTTTGTCAAAGTCAAAGCCTAATTACCGGATTTTTAAATTTAAACCTCAAATGACATATATAACTTTATTGTTAAGCTTCCCGAGATATAGAGAAGCTCAGTAAAGTGGCATGTGACCACTTACCTTCTTGTCAAAAGGTTTATGTATGAAATTACTTTCTTTGTTAAGAACCTGCAAACACCAAGCCATAAACCTGGAAACTATCTTAAATTCTTTCTTTTGCACTCTAATTAAATTTTTACCCAAGACACATCAATTTTCCCCATAAAATCCATCCCTGTCTCAGCACCAGTGACACTGACTTATTATCAGCACCTCTTGCCTCTTGGCTGATTAACCTTCTTGAAGCCCTCTACCCAATCCAGGTATTTGCTGCTGTTTGCTTTTTCCAAGCTGTGGTTCTGATTCTGCCACTACCAGCCTAAAATCCTGCAGTAGCACCCTCCATTGCCTTCAGGAGAAAGTCCAACTCTTTAAAATGGCTTTCAGGGCCATTGGTGATCTCATCCTTGCCTATCCAGATTTATCCCCTTTCATCCCCTTTAGATGTTTTCAACAATAGGACAACCTCTCTCCTATTTCCCTGTCTTTGCACAAACTGTTCTCTCTCCATGGACGCTCCCCCACCCTCACCCCCACCTTGTCTCTAGGCAGAGTTAGATGTTTCCTCCTTTCTGCTCTCTTTCACAATATATTATTTATATCTTGGCTGATTGACTTATCACAAGGTTCTGTAAATTATTGCTAGCATGAGTGTCGCTTTCACTGCACTGTTAAACTCTTTCTGAAAGGAGCAGTATTATTATCTTTTTTTGCATCTTTGATTCTCTAGTGCCTAGTGTAAAGTGGACATTTAATACAGGTTCCTTTTTAGAATGACTGGAAAAACTGAAAGAATAAATGGATGACAGAGGTGAGAATGTGCAGGAAAGGATGTTGTCTGAGTTCTAAGGAGATACACACTGGGGGACCCTGTGCAGCCGGGGTGCAATATGAGACTAGGAGCACCAAAGAGAAGGGACATACAAAGTAGTTTCCCTGCATACCAAGACAAATTTCACTTTGATCACCAATCTTGTATAGGGCTCTTCATTTTAAGTGGCTTAGATATGTTTGTTATGGTACAAAATTTTTTTCCAAGAAAAAATGGTATTATTGAGTTGTACAATATTGGATAAATCGAGGAAAGGCACACAATCCCCTGTCACTTAGTATGGATGCTTTGTATCTAGATTATACTTCATTTGGGTGGTTTTTTTAGGTGGTTTTTTTTTTATTTCTAAACATATTTTTCTTCACCTAGTTGTAACCATATTCAATGCCACACTGCATTCTGTATTTATTGTTATGAATATCTTTGTCAACAATTTCACATACATTTCCATAGTATGGCTATTCCCTAATTTACATAGCTTGTCTCATTGCTGAACTGCTTTCCTCCATCTATTAGGGGTATGGACCACGGACATACAACTTTTCTTGTATGTAGGAAAATTTTGTTAGGATAGATTCCTAGAAGGGAAATTACTGGGTCAAAGGGTCTAGGGACAGTTTTTTGGCTCCAGACACACGATGCCATTTTGCTTTCTCGAAGAGTTGCAGAGAAGTCTAGTGCCTTTAACAGAGACGAAAGAATCCATTTCACCCTCCCTGACCAGCATCAGGTGTTCTCATTAAAAGAAAAAAAAATATTTAACTTCATCAATGTTGTAATTATCTTTTGGACAATACTATCTTATGTGCATTTTTTATTAAGTAAGATTGCTTGATTTTCTTTCCCCTTTTTTTGGTTTTCTTTTCTAGTTAAGTTTTCTCTTTTGAGAACTGTCTGTTCAGGGTTGATTTTTTTTTAAGTTGGATTTTTTTAAAATAAATAAATAAATAAATAAACACCCAGAGCAGCTCTGCTTGAGGGTGAAGCCGCCTCCCAGTTTTCCCTCCCCCTTTTACCCTCCCCCACATAGTTCTCTGCACTAGGTCCAGTGACAATTGGATGATGCAGCCTTGATAATCATCCGATTTCAGAATGGGTAGCTGCATTCTTTTTCTGAAGGCAGCGAAGACACAGTGCCCCAGAATCATGCCCCCTTTGCTGTTGCTGTCTGCCTTCATTTTTGTAGTGATTGTCTTGGGAGGATCCCCAGGACACAACCCAGACGGCAGGATGGAGATGATATCAATCCACAGCCTCTCTGAGCTGGAGCGTCTGAAGCTGCAAGAGACTGCTTACCAAGAACTCATGGCCAGGCATTTCCTCTTTGAATTCAAGCCTGAGAGAGGTGAGGTATACCCCGAAGTGTGGCATCCTCGCCTTTGGCTGAGTGGAGCCCCCGGGGCAGAATGGGATGGACAGGACAGGATGGGACTGGACTACCCGGGGAGGGGGTGGGGGAGGGGGGAAGAAGTGGTGAGGGGTGTGTAGGGAGGAACCAAGGAGGGACCGGCTGGGGGGTCCAAGAACATGGTAGGGGCTCATGTCTGTTCCCAGACCCGGAACCCCGCAGAGAGGAGTTGAAAGGTTTTGGTAGAACTGCGGGAGAGGTAAAGGCTTGTTGAGTTGGGTCGAAGCCAGGGGACCTGCGGGACAGTAAACAGATAGGACAGATGGGTGGACAGAGGACAGGTGAAGAGGGATGCACCAGGTGCAGTGCAAGAGCTTCAGAGACAGAGCTAGGAAAGACAGAGATCGTGCAACAGAGAGAAGGCACGGAAAAGGAGGTGGAGAGATAAGAGACACGCGCTAAATCCAGCGGGGAACAGAGCCGAGCGGAAAGGGAAAGGTGGTGCGGGTAGGGTACTGTGTAGCCCACCTCTGCACCCCTCAGAGGGTGCAGGACAGGATAGGGTTCTAGCATGCCTGGAGGTCTCAAGGGTTGTGGGGGTGGGGTTGGGGACTCTGAAGCCAAGTTGAGGGGCAGGGGAGGCTGAGGGGCGCCGCTGCAGGAACGGAAAGTGCAGGGGTCGGTGGTTGGTTGTTTGGTTTGTTTGTTTTTTTTTTGCTTGCGCTGAGAGTGCCACGGGAAAGGAGCAAAACCAAGTACTAGGAGACACCTCCCCCCCCCAGCGGGGTTCCTGGCTGGTGCACTAGCAACAGCCAGAGGTGCCTCTGTCTCTCCTGCTGTGTGGAGAGAAGGTATTCCAGGTGCGGGAGCGAGCGCCCGGACAGCAACTGTCACTTGGCGACCCCTAACATTGGTGGCGCCGCTGCCGGAGCCCCCCCCCCCCCGCCCCTCGCCTGTTGCATGGTCCAGGCGCCTCAGAGCACCCAGAACTGACGTTTTAAAGGTCGTGTCCAGGGAGTCCTGGTGCTTGCGCGTTCCCTGGGATGTGTTTCCCTTTTCCTTTTCCTTTTTTTTTTAGACAATTATTGGAGTCTCTTGTGTGATAGGACAGGATTGGTTCCATCCTCAAACGGGGAAACTGAGGCTGAGAGAAAGCGCAATACTTTTCATGGACTGAACGAAGCTACTTGCCCCTCTGAGGACGAAAGCATTGTTCGGGGTTGCAGTCACTTATCAAGTCCCGTTTTTTAATGAGTGTGTGTGCCTTTTCTTTTTCTCTTCCCCTAGCTCAAGCTAATGACCGTCCAAACTCCTCGGACAAGTGGCTACTGGTTCTGAGAGGAGAAGAGAGAGGTGAGGGGCTCTCAGACTTTCATTAGGGGGAAACCGGAATGCTGTACCTGTCCTGCATTTCGTTCTTGGCTATGGGGCAGTACCCACTGCCCCTGTGGGTGCCCCCTCCCACTCGGAGAAACCCTGTAAGGGATAATTTCAGGAAATGGCGCACTTCCTGTAGGCGCAGCGGGCAGCCCCTCCAGATCTGTCTAAGCCTTCGTGGCACCCCGAAGACATTACTCTCATTGCTACAAGGTGGTCACCTCCCAGCAGGGCTTGGAGCTGCGTTGGGATAGTTTAGTGCAGTTGAGCCCTTTGTTCATCCACTGCAGAGTGTTTTTGGTTTACTCCCCAGGGAGGGGGCGCTGTACATCTAGAGGGGTGGGCTTGGCGCGGGCCAGGTCCAGTCCCTGCGGTTCCTTACACACTGCAAGGCTTAGACCTTTCTTGTTCTTTCTCTCCCTGTACCCTAGTTGGCTCACTCAAGATATTTGGCCTTAGTCTGGAAGAGGCGTTAATGAACGAGTTTGCCCGCCGCAAGCATCTAGACATGAGAAGGGCCATGGAGAGTGAAGAATCCACCGGGCAGGCTCAGCTTGGTCACGGTCGTCATCACGGAAACGTGGTGCAGAGGCTGATTGGTCACATTAGGCACTATTTGAGTTACAGGAATGGTGAGCCCTCCTTGCCCCAGGAGTTCACTCGCCGTGGACGTCGAGTGAGTTAACCCCTCTGGGTTTCAGGCAGGGACCCTTTCTGAGGGAGAATTGGATGGGATGGAAGGTTCCAGGGGACCCAGTTTAAGGGGGTTTGTGTTTCTCCACAGGGTGCAATATCTGCTGACAGCCTGGCTGAAGTGGAAGATGGGGCCCTGCTGCTGCAGACCCTGCATCTCTCCGGGATTTCCTTGCCAATTGGGCAGCGACTTCTGGGATCCAAAAGGAAAATGAGTCTCAATCCGATTGCTAACCAAACCCCCCAGGTTGTGGAGGCTTGCTGCAACTTCATTGAGAAATATGGTAAGGGTTGTTAGATCAAGGAAGGGGGTAATTAAAATGGAAAAGAGTGGGTTCTAGAAACAGGGAAAGCAAAGGATTATGGAATGAAGAGCTTAGAGAACATTCCTGAGCCTTCACTTGGGACTGGTATGTGCCAGAGGAGGGGGCAAGAATAAGAGAAATTGGGGGTGGGACAAGAGGTCAAGGGCTCCAGAGATGCTTGACATCACTTGGTCTTTTCTTTTAGGCTTGAGAACAGTGGGACTTTTCACTCTTGAGTTCTCTGCTGACAGAGTGCATCAGGTAAAGTGGCTAAGTTTATGGTCTTCCTCATCTAGATGAAAAGTGGGAAAAGGAGGTAGAGCCCTGTGCAAGGAGCAACATCTCTTTGGTGTCCTGCCCACTCACCCATTTTCCTGGGGAATGCCATGTTGCTGGCTACCTCAACTAAATGCTTGAGGCTAGTTGAAGGAATAGTCAGGAAGGAGCTTGTGATGGACAGAAGAGATGATAGTCGATGTCTTCGCTCTTCTTCCTTTGTAGCTCCGTGAAGAATTTGACAATGGTCTGGATGTAGTGCTGGATGAAAATCAGAATGTGCATGATGTGGCTGCGCTCCTCAAGGAGTTTTTCCACGACATGAGGGATTCTCTGCTGCCAGATGATCTGTACATGTCCTTCCTGCTGACAGCAAGTGAGTCCCTCTACCCTACTCTGTTGGTAAGGAAGGATTGCTTGAGGCTCTAGGGACAGAGCTCAGGGCACAAAATTCCCTCAGGGGCTAAATAAAGCAGGGTGAACATCAGAAAGAGGAGGAAAACCTCTCAAAATGAATTTATTTAATATCTTTCAATAATCAATTATAGGCTTATTACTTGGAATGTTCTTTAGTTTCCTAAAGCTGTGTGTATCCCCAGGGCAAAGAAAATCCCAGATTCTCTAAGGGGGAGGGGGCTTTCATGGGAATACACTTCTATCTTTCAGGGATCTTGAGCCCAGATGAGCAAAGGTGAGATGCCTGGATACTCTCTCTGTAACGTTCAGATGCTTTCAAGCAGAATTCTGTCTTTCTTAAGAACACGCTTCTGTCAAGGCTAGCCCCTTGAATCTACCCTTGTTGTCCCTCCTCTAGCTCTGAAGCCTGAGGATCAGCTTTCTGCCCTGCAGTTGCTGGTCTACCTAATGCCTCCTTGCCACAGTGACACCCTGGAACGTCTTCTGAAGGCCCTGCATATGATTACTGAGAACTGCGAGGACTCCATTGGCATTGATGGACAGTTGGTAAAAGCTCTGGGAGGGGTTAGTGAGGTTGGATGCAATAGTGAAAATGCAGAAAAGTATATGGGAAAGATGGACAGAAAGAAAGAGAAAAACAAAAAAGCCATATCCACAGATGCAGATATGTACACCTATGTTTGTCACAGTATTGTTTACAATAGCAAGAAAAAGGAAACAGCCCAGATGACCAACAACAAAGGAATGGATAGAGAAATCGTGGTACCTTCACACAATGAAGTACTATACAATAGTAACAGTTGATTTGAAGAATACTATACAACATAGGTAGGCTGAAGAACATTATTATGTTGAGTGACATATCTCAGTCAAAAAAGGACAAATACTACATAAGACTGTTACTGTGAAAACAGGAGGGGTTACTGGGGCAGTAAGGGGGTTAGGACAGCAGAGATAGAATGTGAACACTGTAAAAGATCAGGACAAGGGAGGATCCACCTGGGAAGAAATGGTGAAAGGACAAGATGGCTATTGCAATTAGAAAACAGGAACAGGATATGTCTAAATGTTCAGAAGGGGAAGAGAAGTGGGGAGGAATAAGTGGGGGGGAATGGTAGTTAATTACATAAAACACAAGGTGTATGAGTGATATAAAATATAATGTACATTAATTAAAAGAGCATTACTTATTAGGAATTAATTATAAAAAATACAAGTTCTATGAATGGCTGTATAAAACACAATGTATATGAATGAAGCACAATGTATATGAATGATTGTATGAAAACCAATATGTAAAAAAAGGGAAGTGTATCCATTTTTACAACTTCCAGTACTACCCCGGATCAGCCACTTTCTGCTTTGTTTTTGCCTAGGTCCCAGGCAACCGTATGACTTCTACCAACTTGGCACTGGTGTTTGGATCTGCTCTCCTGAAGAAGGGGCGCTTTGCTAAGAGGGAGACCAGGAAAACAAAACTGGGGATTGATCACTATGTTGCTTCTGTCAATGTCATCCGTTCCATGATTGATAACTGGGATGTCCTCTTCCAGGTAGGTAGAATCTTTAGAGCCACTTATCCTTCTATTAACAGAGCAGAGAGTATTACACATGTTCCCTCAGGGGAGACAAAGCATGAAGCTTCATAATGTCCTAGTCCAAAAATTACTCTTTTATTAGCTGATCATAGTGTCTTTATTGCTTGAGTTGGCAACCTTGATTGGATTATTAGCCAAGGATCACTGAGATCTAGAAAGTTATAAGTAACAATAGAGAAGCAAATAAATGGAAGGGCCTGTTGTAATAAAGACCAACATTACCGGTTTTACCTTTAGGTTCCTCCTCATATCCAGAAGAAGGTTACTAAGAAGGTGTGGAGATCCAATCCTGAAGCCTTGGATTTTATCAGACGTAGGAATCTGAGGAGGATCCAGTGAGTTTTTCTGGATATGTTCATGCTTAGCTTGAAGCAAACTCTCTTGTAGGGGGCTGCAAATTCCAGACCAAGTTTTGTTATTTAACTCAAATTTACCAACTTGTATTTGTTTTTTCTCCACATTCTTTCCCATCCAGGAGTGCACGAATAAAGATGGAAGAAGATGCCTTGCTTTCTGATCCAGTGGAAAATTCTGCTGAAGCCCAGGCTGCTGTCCTTGCTCAAAGCAGGCCTTTCAATGAAGGTCAGTTCTCTACTAGAGGCCAGGCCCTTTCTGAAGGTTAGGTCCATGCTGAAGGTCAGCCCCGTGCTGAGGGCCAGGTCTTTCTTGAAGGCCAGGTCCTTGCTGAAGAACAATGTAGTCTCAATCAAAGAGTCATTTTTGAGGAAATCCAAAGTCTCAAGATTTTAGGTGATCTTGAGATTTAAGGGCCACATCTAGGAAGTATACCAGAGCTTGGTGAAGATGATGAGGACACTCTGAATTTTGATAATATGCCTCCCCTTGAACATATTCTAGAACATGATGATGAACTTCCAGAGCTTGAGATGACAGTGAAGTTCTAAACAATGAAGGAGCCTCAGTTGGTAATGAAATTCCATGCTGTGAAGACATCTCTAATGTCAGTGGAATCCAAGACTCTGAAAAGAACCCCAATCTTTAATACTCAGTTGCTGATGTTGCCTAGGTAGGGATGCCCAGTTCTCAGTGAAATTCTAGACCCTCAGAAAAACGTGACTGTCAACTTTGGAGCAGTCATGGATATGTAGCAAATTCCAATGCGTTAAAGCTCAGTGCTCAAAATTAGGTTCCTTGGGTGCTATGCAAGCATGAAGTCCAGAAATAGAGGAAATTAAAATTGCTACTGTTTTCCAGGTTCCTCTGATGAGGCAGGCGTGCCTCTTGACACAACCTATTTCCATGACAATGAGGAAGGATCCGGTAACCCTCCCATTCCTGAGCAAGACCGCCCATTGCTTCGCGTGCCCCGGGAGGAGGAGGCCAACACTGACAACTCTTACTTCTTTCCTTAAATATTTACCGCTCTATATGGTATCAGACAGGGGGAGAAGGGTAAGGGTAGACCTGGAATGCCATAAGAAATGTTAAGGAGGAGATTCTTGATGGTAAAGATCTGAGGGTGAGGAGGAGTTCCTGCCTGATGCTCGGGTCAGGTTGGGAATTCCAGCCATTCTGCTAGCCCCTTCACTGGGGATGCTTTGTCCTTGTAGCTGGTAAAAGCTGAGAGGTTTCTGCGTTATGCCCAGGCTTCATTGCGCTATTGTGCCTTTCCCTTTGAACTCTGATCTTGGCTTTTACATGCTACAATTCTATCATTAATTGATGTGATATTTGTGGTGAACACCTGGTCCAGAGAAACTCACAAATCTTGGAGTGCTTTCCCTCACCCAAAGAGGATTGCATGCTTTTCCTGATTTTCCTATCTTCCTCCTAAGAGCCCAATTGGAAAGGCCCTCAAGAGGCATGTTAGGATGTTAGGTCAGCCTATTGACAGCTACAAAGCCAACCCATATCACACCAACTCATAGCCGTGTCGCGTCCCCGCAGCGACTCCATCACCTCACTATAGTCACCAGCCCCCCAACCCCCAACCCCCCCCACAAAACTATTTAGACCAATGGCTCATCTAACAGCCACTCCCAAAATTCTGTGCAGTTTTGCTCAGGTCAAGTCAACAGGGAAACCTCAAGTTTAAATCATAACTAACTTCTCTGAGGCCAAAATTTAGAGGAAAAAATTTGCATTTATTTACCTGGGATTTTCTTAAAGAGTGCACCCCATTGCCAGCAAAACAACTAGTTAGGTACAGACACAATAGTTCGAAGTAGTTAAAAAAATCACCCGATAACTAATGTTCTAATCTATTTTCTCTGTAGTTCCTCTCTGCAGGGCGATACAAATTTGTGGGATATGCTTTGGGAACCCACAGATATGGGTTATGCATGACATCCAAAATTATAGCTGATATTGATGGGTAACAACTGCTAAGGTTTGTAAAATGAAGAATGTATTGTACTGAGGGATAGAAATTGATCACACAATGGATAGCAACCACCTAACTCGAAGACTTGTGATTGTGAAAACTTCTCTGGCATTTAACCATCAATAAACATCTGTGTTGTGGCAGCAGCATACTGTGTGCACTATTTATTTAATTTTAAGGTTGCATTTAGAAGCTCTGCCTGCAGAACTCACAGGGAAAAGGAGGTGGGGAACAGGGATAAGGGAAAGGAAACAACATAGAATAAAGAGGAAACACTATGAAATAGAGAAGGAGAGGGTAACATGGAATCAAAGAAGAGAATGACATTGAATACAGGATAGAAGATGTCATGGAATGAAAGAGAAAGGGTGGCTGGAACAAAGGGGGAGGGATAACATGGGGTAAAAGGGACAAAATAGTATAAAGGGATATAGTGACATGGAATGAAGGGAAGAGAGAGACGTAGAGATGTTGAATAAGGGAGGTGACATAATAAAGGGGAGAGTGTGACATGGAATAAGGAAAAAAATGACAGAATGAAGGGATGAAATAGAATACAACAGAGTGAAGTAGAAGAAAGTGAGTGATGACATGGAATAAAAGAAAAGGGTGATATGCAATAATGTAAGGGGTAACATTGAATAATGGCGGAAAGGTGACATTAAATAATGGTAGGAAGTCCCATGGAGTAAAGGGGGAAGGTAATGCGGAATAAATAAAAGGAGTAGTGTGGGCAATGGGGAGAGGGTGAAATGGAATGAAGGGGAAGGGCTGATGTGGAAAAAAGAGGGTGACGTATTCAAAGGAGTGGAGTAGAACCAAGAGGAGGAGTTATGACATGAAACAGAGGAGATAAAGACATGGAATAAAGGGGGGTGTGTGTGTGGGGTTACATTGAATAAAATGGGTGAAATAGAATAAAGAGGAGTGAAATGGAACAAAGGGAAGCGATGACACGGAATAAAGAGAGGTTAACATGAAATACAGGGGAGGGGTTGACATGGGATAAAGGGAAGTATAACATAGAATAAAGGGAAGAGTGTGACATGGGATAAAGGGGAGAGGATGACGTGGAAAAAAGAAAGGGTGATAAGGAATACAAGGAGTGAAGTACAATAAACAAGAGTGAAGTGGAATGAAGGGAGGTGATGATATGAAATAAAGGGGAGATGTGGAAAAAAGGAAGGGGCTGACATGGATAAAAGGGAGAAGGTGACATGTAAAAAAGGGGATGGAATGGCATGGAGAAAAGGAAAGGGGTGATAAGGAGTAAAAAGGGTGAATTAGAATAAAGAGGAGTGATGTGAAATGAAGGGAAGTGATGACATAGACAAAGGGGAAAGGGTGGCATGGGATAGATTAGAGTGAATGATGTGGGATAAAAGTAAAATGGAATAAAAAGGAGGAGCTGTAATTGCATAAAGAGAGTGTAAGGGTTGAAGTAGAACAAAAGATTCAGGTGGGGTAAAGGAAAAATAGGGAAGAGAATTAGAAAGGTGAGAGCATTCAGTAGGGAAGAAAGGAGTAAAGGAGACCATTAAATATTCTCAACTGAGAATTTTCTCCTGACTTGATAGGAAACAAAAGCCAAAAACATCTGAAGACCTATAATTTCCAAGGGTAAAAAAAAGAACATGCTGTTGTTGGATTGACTGGACCTTCGGTCTTTTACTTAAAGGCTCCAGGCTTCTTGATATACTTGGACATTTTTCCACGTCAGGGACAGAGACTCAGAAGATGAAATGGAGGATATCAATTCTTTTGGCACAATCTACTTTATTATATTTCCTTGCATAGAACTTTATAGACAGCAAGAATGTAGCATTGGGTCCCTCTATATTAATTTCATTATAATGGTAGTTAAAGCATATTCTTCCTAAATTCCTGACACTGTTTTAAAAGATTTACATACATCATACTACGCAACTCGATGGCACTTAACACAACAATAACATACTATATAATCTTGGAAACAGCCTCATGAGATACATATTAGAGTCATCTTCATTTTCTTTTTGAGGAAAATGAGATACAGAAAGGGTAAATACCTTGCCCAAATTACATACCTGGTTAGTGAAAATCTCCAAAAAGCATACTTAGCTTAGGAATCTATCTCCTGATAGGAAAATACATTGTGATGTCTGTAGTCATTTTTTTAAAATAGGAATTTGCGTTTCCAATGAAAAAGTTTCCTCTTTCTTCCTTGTATCCCCTATCTCAACATATAGGCTGATCTGTTAGAAAATTACTGGCATCTCAGGCAGGTGATATCTAAGACTCATAAATATCAGAAGAAAACTTAGATCTCATTCATTCCAAGATGCTAGTTATATGAATGTTCACCCTAGAGTCCAGATAGAGCAAAACCCTCTTAATGTCACAGGTCTGGGAGTAACATTCAGTCAGGTTTTTTCTGTATTGTACTTTATGGAGTCAAATTGTAAAATATGCTTCTGAGATTTTTACCTGTGGATTTGTACTCTGCACTAAACTCTAATACTAAACTCACTGCCATTTACTTGATCCTTACTCACAGTGATTCTCTAGGATAGACTAGAATTGCCCCATAGGACCAAGTTTCTCCTAGGAGGCAAGGATTTTGAAGCTCCGTCTCATATATTTTGGGCACGTGGCCAAGAGGGACTAGTCTTTGGAGGACATCATGCTTGGGAGGGTTGGAGAGACAACACAGAAAAGATCCCACATGACATGGACTGACCCAGTAAATGTGGTAATGATAGTTGTGTCAGAGACAGTGAGACTGGCTCAGGATAGGGCAGGGTTCAGAGCTATTGTATATAGGGTTGCTAGGAGCTGCTGACAACTCAATGACACACACCACCACCAACAACAACAATCTTTACAGTCCCTTCAGTTAGCTATTATAGTCATTTTTCAGTTTCCAAAGACTTCTCTCATCTCCACTAGAACTTTATGTACACAATTATCTGTTGTCTGCTCTAGATTTTTAGTCCTCTCTCCCAAATAGTGTTCTTAAACAGTTGACATAGTGTAGTGTTTCTCATCTTTAGAAATATTATCTTTGCACACCCATGTTTATCACAGCTTTGTTCACAATAACAAGGAGTTAGAAACAACCTAAGTGCCCATCAACAAATGAATGGATAGAGAAGCCGCGGTATAGTCTCACAATGGAATACTACACTACAATCAAAACCAAGGAACTCATGCAATATTATACAAAATGGATGACCCTGGAGGACATTATGCTGAGTGAAATATCTCAGTCACAAAAGAACAAATACTGCAAACAAGACTGACATCGGGGTTAGGGGGAGACTGAGAAAGATGGGATAATGTATACTGCATTGAAACAAATGAGGGATAAAACTGTTTGGAAGGGATATGTGATTAGGTATTTTTGTCATGACAGGAGTCCAGAACGAAGGCTGCATAGTGGAGTGGATTTGGGGGGAGGGATTTTATAACAATGAAAGAATTTTTCTTTTACTTTTCAAAGACAAGAGTGAATTAGGAGGAGGGTGGGATGGGCAGGGAAAAAAGTGCAACAACGCATGAATGGAAATCCTCAGTCTCTGTAAAATATTAATAAAAAAGTTAAAAAAGAAAAAGATAAATATTATCTTGATCCTTTAATGCACTGTACCTATTGCTACTGTACCAAAAAGAATTGGTCAACACTGAAATATTTCAGGAAGTATCATATGATCAAGAGTCAATGGTAATGAAGGAATAACATTCAAACTACAAGGAAGGTATTAGCAAAAAATAAGGCTCCAGGAATTGAGGAATACCAACTGACATATTTCAAAGGAAAGATACAAGCTGGACATGCTCACAAGTTTATAGCAGAACATTTAGAAGACTGTTGCCTGACTAATTGACTGGGAGAGATCCATATTTATTCCCATTCCCAAGAAAGGTGATCCAATAGAATGTGGACATTATCAAATAGTACCATCAATATCGTATGCAAACAAAATACTGCTGAAAAAAATTTAAAATGACTAGAACAGTACATAGAAAGAACTTTCAGATGTCCATGCT